ACATAGGCTACTTTATTCACGCGCGCGGAGCCGCAGGCATAAGCTAATGCATTAATAATTAACTTGTAAAAAAGAATCACCCACTGAGCTTACCTTTATCATGATGAATTGTAATTAACTGTAATCCTCATTCCATAATTTTCTACCCTTAGGGGTGGTATTTTGATAACTGACAGAGTTAGGAGGTAACTAACATAAAATAAAACAGCCGAATTGAGAAACTTCCTTCTTTTATGAAGTCTGTTAATAGGTAAACGAGCGACCACAGAATTGAAGACGTCAAATTAAATACATTAGAAGAGTTGTGACTCGGCTCAGGAATGGCATGGATAAGATATTTAGAATGTACACTTCTTGACCCAAATTAGATATGAAATCCTGTACACAGAAGGCAAACGGCCAAGTACATTTTTTTTATGATAGATGGGGGTAGACGAGCAAACGGTTGACCTGATGGAAAGTGACCATCGACGCCGATGCACGTCTGCAACTCAGGAGTCACATACGCGTTGCCGCCTCTTATGACATCATATTACGTTTGTCATCATAGTTAAATTGCCAACATATTTTTGAGTTCGGGATCGGGAGAGGGCTGATCCCGAACGTACCCTACGATACCAGCCGTCGAAGGGGCCTCTGGTGGCAGATTGATTGCTGCGGTAGGGGATAGAATGGCAGCCTGATTGCATTAAGATGCAAGTGTTTTCCCACGGGATAGGGCAGGCCCTATCCCAGAGGCGCGAAAATCTGGCCTAATCAGGATTAGGCCAGATTTTCGCGAAAATTTGTAAGTACCAAAATTTATCTTAATTTTCTATTTTTTTTATGTTTTGGAATTATTCCTTTATTTGTGCTGTAAGACGTTTCTTTTCGAAATCGAAATCGATCGAAAATCGAAAATCGAAATTTGCTCATATCTTTTTATCGTGTTGACTCAGGACCTTGATTTTTATACACCTAATAGGGACCATAAACGTCAGTATCTGGTATACATTTTAACTTGCTAGGTCTACCCGTTCCTGAGAAAATCGGTGGTGACACACGGACAGACGGACCGACGGACAAGAAAGTGATCTTAAAAGGCTTTCTTTTTTACCTTTTGAGGTACGGAACCCTAAAAAGGCCTATTTTTGAGTAATAGATTACGATTTTAACGTCATTACAATTACTAGCACTCAATTTAACCAAGAAATAAGTAAAAATTAGTTTAAGTAAAACTACACATCTTATAACACAACTTTTAAATTTTGCAAATCAACAACAATTTATAATAATAATATTCTACCACATTCACACAACGCCATCTAGTCCCAAACTAAGCAGAGCTTGTACTATGGCTACTAGACAACTGATATAAATACATATATTTTTTTTTTTTTGTAAATACATACATATTATACATAGAAATACCCAGACCAAATCAAACATCAAATGTTCATGCACACAAATGTTTGACTTGAGCTGGAATCGAACCCGCGACCTTTGGAATAGCAGTCCGTTACACAAACCACTACGCCATCCGGTCGTCGTCTGAATAATAGGTACTCAAATTAGAAAAGCTATGCAAATAATAGATACACTACCTATTATTATTTGATGGGCCTGTTGGTCTAATGGTTAGTGACCCTGACTGCTGAGCCGGAGGTCGTGGGTTCGATTCCCACCCAGGACAAATAATTGTGTGATGAGCACGATCATTTGTTCTGTGTCTGGGTGTACTTTATCTATATTATATATGTATTTAGAAATATATAAAAGTGTGTTTCTCAGCAGTCTGGTTACCATAGTACAGACTCTGCCTAGTTTGGGATCAGATGGCCGCGTGTGAGATGTGTGAAATTATTATTATTTTCCCCTGTTATTGTTTTTGTTTTTTTAGTTTAATCTTGTTACATAAAATAATTTATTTTTATTATTCTAATAGCTGGTGATATCGACTAAGTTCGCGGGAAATTTCAAAATCGTTGCCTTAGTGGTGGACTCCTGGACCGGGCAAAATTATATACGGTTTTTCTGAGCGCGCAAATTGCCCTGGTAGTAAAGTATTATCAAAATCGGTTCTGACGTTTAGAAAATTTTCAAACAAGGAACAAACAGACAGACCGATAGACAGACAGACAAAAAATATTTAAACTGGTTTTTATGCATAGGGATCGTTGAAATAACCGCGCGAGCATGAAAAAAAACTACTATTTTGACATTACAAACAGACACTTCAATTTTATTTATTTGCATAGTAGATATAGATTTTACATTGTATACAACTGTTAATTCTTGGAAGTAACGCTAAAAGGTAACAAACAACAAGGCACAGAACGTATTTGTTATATACAGAACTCTTACCTATGCACTAAAAATAATTCATCATCATCAACAGCCTTGTTAAAGGCTGTTGATGATGATGAATTATTTTTTTACTAGCAATTACTCGCAACTACACTAGCATTTACTCGTAAAATCACTTTTGACACTTTTTAATTTGCAACGTCTGCTGTAGCAAAATATTTGACTGCACGGATGGCGTAGTGGTTTAAGCTGTCGTCACGCCGCTTCCTACTACGCTGACTGTTGTGGGTTCGATCCCCACATGGGACGACACTTTGTGTCATCAACAAATTGTTGATCTAAGTCTGGGTGTTCTTTGTGTCCGTTTCATGTATGTTTGTAAAGTCCCCCCGACACAGGATACATTTTTAATGAAGTTGTCTTAAAAAAAAAACATTCTTAAAAAACTATACAATTATACCCTATCGTCTCACTCACTAATCAATAGTACCATACATACTCACGCCTCCTCCATATTCCTGAAGAGGTAGACAGAGTCCTACCAAACGCATAGATTTGGCCAACTAAAATTTACGTCCCAATTACGTAATAACTATCAACCTGGCACTTTAAGGATTAGATGGAAAAATTAAGAGGATATAAAGAGAAGATGTAGATAAGAAGAAGAGACAAAGGTAGGAAAGGGATATTGATTATACGAATGGAGTGGAGAATATAAGCAACAGGTCTTACAGGTTTAACCGTAAGAGAACCATGGAAATAACAGGTCAAGGCTTCTGCACCTGTATATCGAATTGTCTACTGTCGGAAAGTCTGTGACCTCTGTTCGAGAAGTAATCTACTAGAATTTTATAGAATATACTTAGAATATACCCTATATATAGCTGGTGCCCTCGACTTTGTTCGCGTGGAAATTGAAAAGCACTGCCCTTTTGAGTTCGATTCCCGGACCACGCAAAATTTCATAGGGTTTTTCTGAGAGAAACCAGAACAAACAGACAGACAGAAAGATAGACATACAGACAGGCAAAAATATTTAAACTGGTTTTTAGACATAGGTATCGTGTAAATAGCCGTGTGAGCATGTTAAAAACCTATTATTTTGACATTACAAACAGACACTTCAATTTTATTTATTAGTATAGATTATATTCTAGACAAAAAAAAACATTTTTAGCTCGTGGCTAAGTGGTAACTGAGTAGGTTAACACATTATAGAGTTAAGTAAATCTAGCTAGATCAATCCATGGATGGGTGACCATTATTATATAAGCCGCAGGTCCTGGGTTCGATTTCTACCCTGAACAATTATTGTGTGATGAGCACGGTCGTTTCTTTATCATATGTTCTGAGTGTAATTTATTTATAATATGTAGGTATGTATTTAACTATATAAGTATGTTTATCAGCAGTCTGGTTACATAGTACAGTCTGTACCTATAGTCCATCAACGTCGTGCACGACCGTCCTGCGGGGTGACAGACGGTGGCGGGGACGAGGTACTCAAGATATCAGCGGGTAGCGGGTGATGTAGCGGGGAAGGGAATCGTGTGTAGCCGTGTGCTAGAATGACGCACTACCTCGCCCCCGCCACTGTCTGTCACCCCGCGGGACGGTCGCGCTCGAGATTGCCGGGTTATAGTTTAGTATCAGACTGCCGTGTGTGAGATGTGTGAAGTTATTATCATAGAGACATATCTGTACATTAGAGGGCATGCTGACCGTGCCGTTTAACATATGAACATCTGTGGCAATCGTTACGGGAAGTTGGAGCCCTAAAAAGTCCTACAACAGTCTTTCTACAGAAGTTCGATATCGCGTAGTACTAGAATTCTGATATATGGCAGTCGTCCCGCCTAAAAAATTGAAGTTCAGCCGTATCGTAGTACACTTAAAGCCGACCCCAACTTAGTTAGAGGAAAAGTCAAGAAAACAAGATGCAGTGTAGGTAAAGTACCTACTTATGGTGATAAGATAATGTATTGGTGATGTACCTACACAAGTACATACTTTATAACAAATTGTCTATGTCACTAGATGTTATAATGGTTAACTGTCTCGGCAGTTACAGTCTCTCAGATTCTTGTACTCAAAGCAACTACAGTACTATCTAAATTACACATTATACAAAGTTAAATTACCGTATAAATATGTTCCACGCACTCGCTCTGTGCCATGGCCGAAATCATAGTAACGAATGAGAAAATTTCGCAGTGGTGGCACTCAGGCGTTAGCCCCTAGGACACAGGTGATCTCTGAACTTTTCTTTACCGCTGATCACCTGCCTCAGCCGGTATGAGAGAGTCCGGTGTTGCCTCTCGAGCTAATACTTGCGTGCCCGGCGCTTCGTTGCTTGTATTCCATTTTGCAAAAATGTAACAAATTCCACTAATAATAAAACAACATGCGAAATAATAAATTTTTTTTTTCAATATATGGTGCGTATTTAATTTATTATTAATAATATTTAATACTAAAACTGATAAACTACGAAAAAGAACTTCTTTGGGACCATTTCTTATAAAGTTGTTAGATACCGAACGAATCAAGGATACGTCAAAACAAAAAATGACATAACCAGTAACCACTGTGAATGGTGTGAAACCGCAAAAACTGTGCGAAGCGAGTGTTACAATAAGTGTTCTTAACATAAAAGTTAACAATTACTTGAATGTGACAGTGATTTAGAACCGTTAAACATTAAAACAGTGATCATGCCGTACGCTATGATGCGTCATTTACGCCGAACAATGGTATTAACGCAACAAATTCGATGTGAATCCATCATGTCCAGTTTGACTGCGGAGGACATCATATTTCGCCCTACAATGGCTCAATGGGGCAAAGTTATCAGAGAAGCTGAAAAGATTGTTGGATATCCAACCTCTTTTATGAACTTGCGATGGTTATTAAGCGACGAATTTGCCAATTTAGCCATGCAATTGCGTACAGTCGTGAGTATGAACCTTAATGTTTTCTGTTTAAAATTAAGTAAATAGTTGTTTTTTTAACATATTTTAAGGATATTAGACTTGTTTTTATGTTAAAAAGCGTAAGAGTAATAATAGTAATAACTTAGTATTATTATGTAATATTTAACAACTACAAAGTGCAAGTAACCATGTGATTACTGCAAGGTTATTTCCTGCTATCTTTGAATTACAAAGCAACATTTTTATTAACTAATACTTAAGGTCATCTTGTTTGTAATTAATTTATGGTCAGCCTTCAATTAATTATTAAAAAAATACTTGTTTTAATAGAAAAGAGTCTATACTGTTATCTACAAAGATAACTTTAAATAATCCACTGATAAATATTACAACTTATAACTACTGGATCTGATATTTAGGCAATTCTGAAACATTTAAAATTTTTACTAATATTTATTTTAGAAAAAACAAACTAAAAAATTAAATTAAATTTAAATTTATCCAACAGGTTGGCATGAACCATCCTATACTAAAAACAGCCAAAATGCTTCTCTACAATGAACACAATAACCTTCAGCCCTGGGGCCTTGTTATCTTACTGCTGTCAAAATCCCTTAACCCGTCAACATCTCTAATAGCAAGCACAGTTACCGAAAATCAACGAATACTTGCAGAATTAACAGAAATGATCAGAACGGGACATTACGTACACAGAGGATTATTGAACATACCACCAAGTGACCGCAACAAAAATTCAGATACAGCAATATTTGCAAATAAAATTGCAATTCTAATTGGTGATTATTTATTAGTTACCGCTAATGGTATGCTTGCTAGAATAAAGAACCAAGACTTATCATACTTAATATCAACAGCTTTGAGAGACTTAAGTGAAGGTGAATTTTTTGGACAACGGGATGCACAAAATATGCCATTACCTGGCAAGGCAATGAACAGACAAACAGATTACTATGATATTTGTAGTGATACATTACCTTTAGAAGTCAGAGATGTATTAGGTTCACCGATAAGAGAGTGGACTTTACGTTCACTGTATAACGGTGGCACATTATTGGGAAGAGGTTGTCAAGGGGCATTATTATTAGGTAACCATGGATTAGAAAAACAAGAAAATGCATACAAATTCGGCTGTCATTTATGTCTAGCTTGGCAAGCAGCTTCCGAAGTACAGAAAATAACTTCAGAAAAAGAGTCATTTTCCATAGTAAGTGCGCCTGTTTTATTTGCTATAAAAGACAGTCCATATTTGTACGACCTAATATGTGATAGAAACGTAACGGATATGGATTTTGAGGTTATAAAAAATGAAGTTCAGAAAACAGATGCAGTTGAGCAAACTAAATCGTTATATATGGAACATGCAAACAAAGCTAAAAGTTATGTTGAAACATTTGATGAGTGTGTATCAATAGATACTATCAAAAGATTAATTTACACTTTGTAGTACCTGATTTTGCTAGGCTCTGTATATATAAGGTCAATCTTAGACAAATTAAAAACAATCCATTGATTATACCAATATTTGGTAGTCACTCAGAAAATGACGACAGCTAAAGTGTGCTTAAATGTAGTTGTATGCACAGTTGTGTATCAGATGCTTCATGCCTGTGCTGGCGGTGTGACGTCTCAGACGTAGCCGAAAATAGTGACATATCCTTTTAATATGAAAAAAAGGCATTTAATGTCTTACTTATGTTGTTAGCTTCATAAATTTGAAGTGTAAATAATCATACTGTAACCAATGATAATTTAAAAAGTTAATAATTTTTTTTAAATAGATTGCGCATCTGTCCTTTTCACTCTTATATGCATGCGTGTTGAACACAGAGTGTTATATACACACACACACACACACAGACATGAGTCTTATACACACCGTTGTATTAAATAACAAACTACACATTCTATATGTTGAAGTTTTTGCATAAAAATATGGGAATGTAGACATTCATTCATTGTTCAGTGTTGCTGCTTTATTATTACGATAGCCAATTAAATAAATGCAAGGCTAGTTGTACTGGGCATTTGCAGCACTACCTACTTTACATGCAATTAAAGTCTATCTATAGTTTGATTAAAGTTCAAACCATAAAATATTGTTAAAAGTGAGGCCAAACGAGTGTAATTTTGTAAGACGTGAGTCGCGTATTTTCAGTGGCGTAATTTACGTTCGACTGACATTCGGTCAGGCTGCCAGACGGACGTAACTTCAGTCGCTATCTAAAGTTTGCACTCGCTCCTCCCTCTCCCTTCCCTCAGCTCGAGCGCAATTCAGTTGAAATAATGCGCGTGGGACATCAGACAACTCATTTTGCGCCGCAGAAACAGGACTTTTGTACGAAATTAAATGCAGCGTAAATTCTGCGGCTCATTCTACGCGACTCACAACTGAAATGATTACGCTCATTTGGCCTTACCTAAAGAGTATAGTAGTTACGACGTTAAACTTATGATCAAGTGGTTCAGGTTCGAACCCAACCACAACATGAGCCCACTCCTAACACTCGCATTTAGTTTAGCTAAAAGGATAATAAAATAACCTAGAAAATTAGTAATGTGATTGATGAATAAATTTAAAAGGGAATTTTAGTTCATTTTTTCTTCTTTAATTCTTTGACTTATAATTTTTAATATTCATTCAAGGTGTTAAAAAAGGTTTACATTCTTTCACTGCAGTATTAAATCGTATACCAAATATATTTCTACAAATGCAAGAAGACATAATTTTTAATCGTTAAATTAAAAAAATAAGTTGCGATTTGCACACAAGGCTTTTTGCATTGCCGAACTTGCATATATGTATGTATAATATATTACTTACAAGTCTACACTGCCTGTCTAAAAAGGAGCATTTTTTTTATTTATATTGTAAATAGAAATCACTGTTAAATTTGTTAAATCATGTCATGATATATTAAAATATATTTAAATGTTACCTGTTAGATTAAGTTGTTAAGTTTTACGGAAAAATAAAGAGATTTTACTCTTAATTTTTTTTTTATATCTTTCTATTTTATTGGAACGAAGTTCCTTATCGCGCGTTGTGAAAGGGGGCTAGACGGAAAAAAATCTCACGAAAAGTTGTAACGACACTTTTTATTTTGAATTGTCACTTGTCAGTCGTTCAGCGCCATCTATCGAATAGATAGGAAATCATTACTTTTCATCTCAGTAAAATTAAAATTTATGTTCTTAGGTTAAGCAAAAAATATTGTATTCGACATCATTTCTCAAGGAGATTTTACCAATGTATAAATTGTTTAAATTAGAAACCAACTGAAAAATATGTAGGTAATAGCCGCTTTCATAGGTGGCGTTGTAATTAAAATCCTGTCGAATCAGTTTTACTCGATCGTCACAACTTCGTTCCTATCAGGTGTCCCACGACACCACACGGCTTTTTATTTCTTTTATTAAGTTACAGTTGCATTAATTATTACCTAACTAGTGTTTTTATTTCATATCGATTACTGATACTCAAATGATCGAGTCATGTTTGTCATAATATTATTATTGAAATGCAGAATTCTCCACACCAAATTATATTACTTGATACCAGCGTTGAAAATTACGTGTCAAATACAAGTATCTTTCAAAAGCCCCTGTGTTTTTTAATAAAATTCAGAAATTTTCCTTGCTGATTCTTCGCGGACAGCGCGCGGTTACCGCGTGGATCGCTCGACGTCCGCGCGTGGACAACCCGCTGGTGGGGCGCTACGGAGTTGATGTAGTGAGCGTATACCCATAGTACTCCATACAAAGAATACTAACTGCTGTGCTACTACTGCCGGCGGTCGTTCGGTGTCTCTTATGGGCCATGACCATAATGCATCTACGGAAACAAGCAAATTTCATTGCACGCGACTGGTGGCAAGGATTGTGTCTGTCAAAGCGCTTATCTCCTATTGTTGAGAAAACATCTACCAAAGATCGCAACCGATCGATTAAACAAATTAATATTTGTAAACTCTAATCACTAGTTTGTCCATTCTGATGAAAACAAACCTACATTTCATGAAACGGATAAAGTTTACGACGAATCCAGTGCTGGTGACATTGAATTGTAGACTATTTCGTTTATTTTCGAAAATTACATGTATTTTACAGGAAAATTTCGAAAAAAACAAAATGAACCTTACGCAATTTCTACGCTACTTGATACGCTTTTAAGGATAGAGATATGAGAACACGATTTCAATCTTTCATCTGCATGCGTACTACGTTTTAGTAATACAAAAGTACTCTATGGTAAAAATACTCTAATTAACGCATAATAAAAAATAGTTGACACTTATTGAATAATTAAACATCCTATGCGTTCTATTATTAAACAATGACATTTGCGTCTGCATTCCCGCCCGCGCCATTTTTCAACGTTGCATAATGCTACGAATTTATGTGAAAATGTTCATTGAAATTTTGCAATATCACGGACTCGGCTATCACGTTTGACAAGTGAATGACGTATGCTAATGTTCATGATAAATTAATTTCTATAAATCGAATCTCGACACAAAATAATTTTGGAATGACGCGTCTGAGTTGTCAATTATTTTTTTTAATTTACGATACAAATTTTGTCATTGAAAACGACGCAGAAAGATTGTTATGAAACTGCTTTTTTAACTATTTAATTAACTCGGTTGGTCTCGTCATGCGGCAACGGTATATGCCTGATGAATTATCAGGCATATGCTAATTTCACGACTAATTATTATAGACATGTTCCGTATGGTGCTGTCATGACAAACAAATGTCTGCCAGGGACTCATTTGAGACAAGTATATAAATGATAATGAACGTTATCACTCAAGTTTCTTTATGTTATCCGGGAGATAAATCACCAAGTTCTTGTTACTAGTCTACCGCCGTTCTGTATGGCCAAGAATAGGTTGGGACTCCGGTAACCCCACAGGTTAAAGACAACGAAATAAAGGCTTAACACCGGTGTTCCGTAAGGCCCTGGTATTACTTTGGTCGAGCCGACTCGTAAATACCGAAGCATTTATCTTCCATGGTTTAAAAGTCTAAAATATGTCATACCACAACCAAAAAAAACGTAACATTAAGTAAATCTTGCTAAGCATACTTACTGTAGAATTTTGATTTGGTTGCGTTTAACCAAAATGATTGGTTGGAGATCCCTAATTTCTACTACTGTGCAAGCTAGGCCCTTAAACAGAATTAAAACACCAATTCAAATAGAAAAACGTCATTCTGAACATGAAGGTCCTCCGCAGCCCTTCGGCAACATGATTCAAATTCAAATTCATTTATTTGCAGAATGTACACACACAACATACAGCAGATGTCAATAATTACAATACTGGTTCAGTACATTCTACCATGACAATGGTGTGCAAAAGGTGTCATAAAGTGCTGCACTAGCAGCTCACAGTCCATACTAGTTTTGTCATGCCCTTTTCGGTTCCAAATCGGTTTGCTGCTACCCCTTTTTTGCAGTTTTAGTTGGCATTGGCTTATAGGCTCCTATTCTCTTTTTGTTGTACATGATTGTAAAGAGAACATTCTAATTTTGATCAGCAAATAAAAACTTGGAACACATAGTCCACGTACATAATAATAATTAATTATCATGGAACGGGAAAGTTTAAAAGCTGATACATTACGTTAGGTACGATGTACCAGTTTTTAAACTAAGTTGTTGTTGTCTAAAGGCAGAAAATAAAACTAAAAGTAAGATTATAAATACCTTTATTCATACATCCATATATTGAAGTGTTTCACCGTGTATCGTCGTCGCCATTTTCTGCAACGTAGTTCTCGCATCTTCCACTGGAAATTTCTCTGTGTACTTCATGATAGCCGCATACTCATCGTCGAGGAATTTCGTCAGATAATCCATACTCCTCGTACTCCTGACAGCGTAGTACAAGTTCTTGTATGAGATTGGCTGTTTCTCTACTTTTGACTCCCAAATGTGACCATAAACTTGAGGGTACTCCCACGCAGCGATAATAAGAGGTGCACCAGCTAATGAATAGGAGTAAGGATGTGTGAAAAAGTCTTTTACGTCAAGATAAATTTGCCACATAATTGCCAAATGTCCGCCAAGGATATACGCGTTCTTTTCCATTTCTGGCCCTCGGTTTGCCAGCTTCATTGCAGCCTGGCAACCTTTTCCGAGAATGCTGCCAGTGGTCAGCATTGTCCTCAAAATAAATTCATCTTTACCTCGGCCAAGGTATTCATTTGAACCCAATTTCTTTAAATTGTCTTCGTTTTCCCAATCATATCTAGGAAAATTGTCCTCGCCTGAAAGATGAAAAAAAAAGCGATAGAGTTAAATAAACTGAAACCAAGTGTTTTACATAGCAGAGCACAGAGCATCTGTGTTAACTTTCCGGGTGTGTCTTAAGGTATCGTTAGTAGTCGTAAGTATCTCGTTCTGGCTATTTTTATATGGTATTTCTTTTTGTATTCTCAAAAATTCAGTGTCTGCCCAATTATAATTTATCAAACATAGGCGGAACTCTATGTCCGTGTGGTGACGGATTAAGAATACAAATTGTCACCACCCCAATTCATCCCGTGGGTGTCGTAAGAGCCGACTAAGGGTGCAAACTAAGCAGGACAACAGCACTGCAGAGAGAAGGAAAACTTGAAACAAACCCTATACCAACCCGTCTGGCCAGCGTGGTATAGTAGGCCAAAACCTCCTTTCTAAGGAGAAACCTATGTCCAGCAGTGGACTAGTATAGGCTATAATCTTGAACAGATTATAATCATAAAATTGAAACCTGCTGCCCTGAGTATCGAGGTATCGATATATTTCTTCTGGACCTAAAGAGTATTTATATAAAGCATCTCTACTCCAGAAGACAGTAATCCGAATCCAAAAAAAAGGTAGCAAGGAAGAAAGGGCACTGTTACTTACCCGCTTTTTGGGTACTAAGGTGTGTGCTTTTGTCAACAAACAACATTATGGCCAAAAAATTATTGGAATAGAATAACGTTTGAAGTTTTCAAGTAAACATAATTCAATTCTCACCTTTTGGTTTTGTAAGCATCGGATTGTTATCCGCGTCTCGTTCTCCGAAGAAGTCTCCTTCCACCAGATCCCGAAGGCCGGTGGAAATAAGCTCTGTAACTTCATTGTTCCGGAGACCACCGAGATTTCGTAAGCAGTTCGCCAGGAGATAGTCCCCTATAGAATTATAGGAAAACTTAATAATCATAAAAGCTCCTTTCTAAGGAGAGGCCTATGTCCAGCAGTGGACTGTTAAAGGCTGTTGATGATGATGATGATAAAAGCTTAACAGAGTTATTTGGGTGTCTGTCTATCGCCAAATATTTTTTGGCCAAAAGCCGTTGTCGCCTCTTGTGATTACAGCAGTCTGGTTACCATAGTGCAGACTCGGCCTAGTTTGGGACCACACGGGTGTGAGGTGTATCAATTAATTTGGTATCCGTTTCGAAAGGGTTTTTTTCTAGAAATTATAAATGTATATGTAGAAAGAGGAGAGGTGTATGTAGGAGGGGCTCGTGTCTAAGTGGTAACCGAGTAGGCTAAGATATAGCAAAGTTAAGCAATCCTAGCCAGGTCAGTCTATGGATGGGCGACCATTCTTAACACATAGCACATCAAGCCGTCAGTGCCAGTGGACATACGAACATCTGTGGCAAGAACTTCGATATCGCTTAGTACTTGGATTGTGAGGGTCTGGTAGCAGTCGCTTCTCGTATAAAAATAATAATAATAATAATATACCTCACACATTTCACACACGGCCGTCTGATCCCAAACTAGGCAGAGCCTGTGCTATGGTGACCAGACTGCTGATAAACATACTTATGTATTTTTAAATACATACATATTTTAAATAAATCACACACAGACACAGAACAAATGATCATGCTCATCACACAATATTTGTCCTGGGTGGGAATCGAACCCACGACCTCCGGCTTAGCAGTCAGGGGCACTAACCACTCGACCAGCAGGCCCGTCAAATTGAAATACAACCGTGTCGTAGTAAACTTAAAGCCGACCCTAACATATTTTGGTAAAAAGGTTCGGAGAAATAAGTCCAGATTTATATCTAGAGCGCTATCTGCCTTTCTATATCCTTGATGATTGGTCGAGAGCTATTGCCGCATTTATAATATTAGTTTAAATGTTACTTTACCGGTCAGTAAAACGATTTTATTCCCGTACAGTAAATCCTTGTACTTATCCCCGTATTCACTCTTATTCTGAAGATTTTCCATCGCTTTATGGATCAGGTGACCTGTTCTTTTCATCTCCACTATCTCTGCCAAACCTCTCTGTGCATGCAAGACGCCGCAATCATAATGATCAGCTGTGAAACCCTGGGGATCGAAGCCAGCTGCCTTCGATACCAGGAGAATCGTCAAACCAACGGACTGCAGATTGCTTTTGGAACCTAACAAGAGGTTCTTTGCTGATTTTAGCAGTCGATGATTCGTTCCGACCTGTGAATTTAAAATATCTACATCGAGTCTTTCGATACTATTTTTGTGTTGTTATTGACAGTTGGGATCTAAAAATAATTTTACATCCAGCCTGTGATGTGATGGAATGGTTATATAAAGGGGATGCACTTTTGACTTTGTAAATTCATATTAGGAATTCGTTAACGGACGCAATGTTTAAATTTGGCATTAGTAGAACTTTGCTCAAACAGCGTCGGCAGCGCATGAATAATACTTCTACTTTTACTTCTATAAACAGTAACTCATTTCTATTAGGCGACCGGGTGTATTTTGCCACATGTAGGAACATAACATCATCATCGACAGCCTTAAATAGTCCACTGCTGGACACGGGCCTCTCCTTAGTTAGGAGGTTTTTTAGGTTTAGAGAAGAGGGACATAACTAAGTATCTATAAAATAGTAAACCCTGGGAAAATAAGATCTTCTTTTACAATTTTCAGTTCTGCACTTTAGACTGCAAACATATTGCTTACAACTAAAAGCACGTAAAGATATACTAAATTAAACGTGTTATATGATACTCAAAGATGCATATTCCCACATATTGGTGTCTGTGTTGTACCAAAGTGTAGCTTGTTAATTATGACGACGAACGGACTGCTATTCCAAAGGTCGCGGGTTCGATTCCCGCTCAAGTCAAACATTTGTGTACATGACGTTTAATGTTTGATTTGGTCAGGGTGTTTCTATGTATGTATTTTATTTATATGAGTTGTCTAGTACCCATAGTACAAGCTCTGCTTAGTTTAGGACTAGATGGCGTTGTGTGAATGTGGAAATATTATTATTAATTTACTAATCCTCTTGACATGACAATTTTAAACATAGAGGTATGTTCCTTACCAGCTTCCTCAAATGCACAGCAGTGTTGGCAATTTCATCGTTGAACAACCAGCGGAGGTTAAGAAAAGAGGTCGGATAGCCCACAATTTGTTCTGCCTCAGAGATCACGTCTCGCCAATCTATCTCCTCCTTCCGACCCAGGCCAACATTGGACATGCTACGAACACGCCTGAGGATAATGACTTCCATTAATAATATGATCAAACGTAATGATACTCTGGATGATCCTAATACATTCGTTCCACTTTTTTCATCCATAAACGAATTCTCTAAATTCAAATTTCCCACCAGAATGTGTTCAATATTTTCTATATCGTGATCTAACAAGTCAGGGAGTAGTTACTGCTCTAAACCACTGCCTGAACCTAACTATAGGTGACTAAGGACTAATTCACGAACTTATGTATGCTGATAGTATGTTGATGGCCGGCCGACATTTAAAAACACTGCCTCGTGTTTGGTGGATGTTCTTATGTGTTTCTTCTTCCCTCCTCATCCTGGGAACTATCAATAAGGTTAGATGTTTATCTATGAGATCTATGCGTAACATATAATGCTGGTCAAATCCATTATGCGACTTCCTGAGGAACACTACCATCCCTCTCACGAATACAACACAGTCACGGTACGTGTGTGTCACAACGTGACTGGCAGTCAGGTGCACTTTAGTCTATGTAATAAAAAATCATCATCACATCAACAGCCTTTACTAGTCCACTGCTGGACATATGCCTCTCCTTAGAAAGGAGGTTTTGGCCTACTATACCACGCTGGCAAGACGGGTTGGTATCGGATTTGTTTCAAGTTTTCCTTCTCTCTGCAATGCTGTTGTCCTGCGTAGTTTGCTTCCTTAGTCGCCTCTTACGACACCCACGGGATAAATAGGGGTGGTGACACTTTGTATTCTTAATCCGTCACCACACGGACTATAATATGTTTATGCAATATGTTTATGTAATAGACAAATACGTTCATGTAACTGTAGAAACAAACCTCTGACTGTAGTCGAATGATTTGTTATTACGCTTACGGAACTCCGAGGGAGATCGTTTGCCGTCATCTTCTAAAGTAGAGCTCTTTCGAAACGACGGGTAATTCGAGCATTTCATACAGTAAATAGATGTAAGTTTTAGAGACTTCAATGGAAACATTTTCACAGTACAATTTTAAACTCACCGACAATTTGTTTGCTTAAAAACAGTAATACATAGAAATAAAATAATTAAACCCTATGGCAATCTGCGGCAATGAATTTTAGAAATGACATTTGACGTCTATCATTAAAAAGTTATTAAAATCCTTTCGAAAGAGGTTTCAAGTTTAAAGGTTTGAAGCGACTACGCAAAGGCAGAGAAAACTCACATCGTAAAATCATTTTTAGTAACTCTGGCGCCGACACAATAAAGTCCAATTCAGGTTGCACAGTGCTTATGACCTAAAGTTATGTTTACGGAACTGAGTTCAAGTAACTATTATCTCCTCTTCTCTTCTGACGACTATAAGTTCATCTTTTTTTTTATTCAATTACTTTTACCACTGCCCATCAGACGAGGACAAACAATCGCTAACTTTAAAAAAATATTGAAGGAGCATCTCCTAAATTGTCGAGCGATGAGAGGACCCTGATGTCCTTAAATCCTGTGTGTACCCAAATCTTATTGCTGCTTTTAAATGTATCCTATCTTGTGCAGTGCATATGTGTGTCTAATAGTGTATGTGTGTATTCAGTGTGCTATGTAAGTAATTATATGAGTTTGTTCGTCTTATATCTTGTATAGTACTGTAAAGTTGCAACTCTCCATGCCATCCTTAATTTCCTTTTCCATCCAGCGGTTGCCTGGAAGAGATCGCACATTGCAATAAGGCCGCTAATTGTACAACTATTTACTAGTTTTACTTTCTTTGTGTAACTGCCCTTAGATTACAAAGACTCATTCAAATGTATACAAACTGTTCTATAATTATGTCCTTTTTTTAGGGTTCCAAACCTCAAAAGATAAAACCCTTATAAGATCACTTTCTTGTCTGTCTGTCCGTGTGCCACCACCGATTTTCTCGGGAACGGGTAGACCTAGCAAGTTGAAATTTATACCAGATACTGAAGTCTATGGTTCTTATTAGGCGTATAAAAATCAAGGTCCTAAGTCAACACGATAAAAAGATATGGGCAAATTTCGATTTTCGCGAAAACTTGTAAGTATCAAAATTTTTCTTAATTTGCAACTTTTTTTATTTTTCAGACTTTTCTCTTTACTTGTGCTGTAAGACCTTGCTTTTAACCAACATTGACAATTCTAGGTCAACCGGAAGTACCCTATAGGTTTTGGGTCGAAAACCTATATGATAGTTGCCGTTGACCTAGAATCACGAAATTTGTGCAAAAAGAAACGTCTTACAGCACAAATAAAGGAATAATTCCAAAAAATAAAAAAGTTAAAAATTAAGAAAAATTTTGGTACTTACCAATTTTCGCAAAAATCCACGTAAAATCTGGATAGGTACGGAACCCTCGCGCCCGAGTTCGACTCATACCTGACCGGTTTTTTTTCTTGTACAATAAAGAGTTGTCTATCTACTTGTTATTCTACTTTTATGAACAAATAACGTTTTAAATAAACTTGGGCTAGATACTAACTAACTTCGGTGGGGTGACGGCCCGAGGGGGTTTCCACACGTTAAAAAAGGAAAAAAAAAAGATACTAACTAACTCGATTAGTGAGTATCGAACTAAATGCGTCAGTATTAGTAATGGAGGAAAATATGAAACTATCATAAAGTAGAAGATACAAAAGACTGCGGAATCAGTAAAACAGGCCTGTTGGTCTAATGGTTAGTGATCCTGACTAGCAGTTAAAGGTTCGACTCCCATCCAGGATGAATTTTGTATGATGAGCACGATCATTTGTTCCTTTTTTGGGTGTAACTTAATCACGGTACTATTATAATATTGTACCGTGACTTAATCATCAAAGCAAATAAATAAAATTAAAGTGTTTGTAATGTCAAAATAATATTTAATTTAAACTCATACGAATAATACACTGCACGATACCTATGCCTAAAAGTCAGTTTTTTTAATTTTTGTTTATCTGTCAGTTTGTTCCGGCTAATCTCCGAAACGGCTAAACCGACCCTGATAAGATTTTAACTTAGACATAAGCAAAAAAATTTCAATGGAATTAAGACCACGCAGTGCGTAATAAACAACAACCCGTCTGGCCAGCGTGGTATAGTAGGCCGAAACCTCCTTCTAAGGAGAGGCCTATGTCCAGCAGTGGACTATTAAAGGCTGTTGATGATGATGATGTACGTAATAAAACTTTTAGGGAATTTCCTTTAAGACCCATATACAAATAATTTCTTGTATACACCCCGCTTTATTCCATTTCATTAACGGTATTGTTTCTCACGTGTTGCTACACATAATATCCTCCTTGCAGATTTATCTTTGCCAATCTAATGATAATAGCCCGAGAACTCATCACCATGCATTAAAAAACGAAGTACGAAAGCTCATTTCCGTACATCACAAACGCTAGGTTTACATCAGTCGCAACGAGCCGAGCTGGCTCGTAGTCTAACAAGCTACTAAGAGATTATGGCGCCCCCTGCTGTGAGAAAGATTAAAATCGTTTGATGTTTACTTACAGCTCCATGACTATACAATCAAAAGGATAATACAGGACGTGTTTCAAATAGTGCATAGATAAGGTTACTACACAGTTGCTTATTTTTTTTTATAAACTTTCGATTTTAAATTAGGAACCTCCTAGACGGACAATTTTTTTGACATTTTCAGATTGTTACATATCTGTGGTCTGGTTTTAGGAGCTGTATGCGACAACGTGTTGTCTCGTTCACATTTACAAATAATATTTTCGAAATTAAGAATACGGAGTGTCACCACCCCTTTTCATCCCGCGGGTGTCGTAAGAGCTGACTGAGGGAGCAAGCTACGCAGGACAACAGCACTGCAAAGAGAAGGAAATCTTGGAACAAACCCTATTCTAACCCGTCTCGCCTGTATAGTAGGCCAAAACCTGCTTTCTAAGGAGAGGCCTATGTAGAGCAGTGAACTAGTAAAGGCTGTTGATGATTAATGAATTGAAAATTAAAAATTACCGTGGGAGAGCCGTGCTTCGACGCAAATGGGTCGGCTCGTTTTCACTCCCAATACCCCCGATCCCCCAGCCTCTAATTGCAAGAGTTCTTGGAGGTGTCTTTTGAATTGCATATGTCCACGAGCGCAGTAGTTAAAACTTAATAAGAAATGCAGTCGATTTTAGTAAAGATTTCACTCGATAGCATTTATATCATAAACCTAAACTAGTTTTATTTTAAAACATATATTTGTCTCAGAAATGTCTCTAGTAAACCATCATTCGCCAAACTCCCACATTTGTAAATGAACCGACATTGTCCTATAAATAAAAATCACGCCATTGATTCAAAATAACATTAAAAACATTATATTCATTCTTTCTTATTTCAAATGTCAAGAGAACGATTAACGGAAATCAGTGCAGCGTGTATCCTTTTTTCGCGCACGCACCCGCCATTATCAGGTCGGCGTCACTTCCGTTGACATTTGGAAAATAATTATGTTTCTTTTTTTGGAATTTACACACAAAATGTAACGATGCGTGAATTTCTTGAAGATTGTCTTCATGACAGCCTTGGGTTTAGCATATTTTACACTTTATTTTTATTACAAAACGGAGTTAAAAGTATTAGCTGTACTTACACAGCAGATTTCTGCTCAAAACGGATTTGACTGTCAAGATTCAATAAAGAAGTTAAATAAACCATTACTAGAGTAGTGTTGTTGTTACATTGTGTATAAGTAATGGTGGTGGGAATAATTTTTTTGTCGTTTTGAATAATCTGATTGATGAATGGTACCTAGTTACTAGCCACGGCTGGTAATAATTTTCAATTTTATATAATCAGGTATAGAGTTCCGACTCACTGGAACTACTCACTACTGGCACTGGGTCGCCCCACAACAGGGCATAGACAGCTGACTCATCAAGATATCGACCTCCAGTTATGGAGGGGAGTGATGTGTCACTTGATCTTAATCCAGTAAAAGAATAAACACATTATAACAAGATAAATTAAAAAAAAACAGACTGCTTAAAAATGTTTCCTTAAAATTTACAAACTGGCGATTTCTTTCGTTATGGTTTTTACATACCCTGTGTCTCTCACACAAGTAGACTAGAGAGAGTGTGAAAGAAATATATGTACTTAAAGTAACGAGAAGTAAAGGCCACTAAACTAGGCAGATGATGAATATGAATAACATTTCAAGTCAATAAATAACGTTAGTGACATCACAAACAAAACCGTCACTAACTTGCAATAACCGTTATTACAAACTAGTTATTCCGTGATAGGTTACTCTATTCGTTACGACTTTATACGAGTATATCATCGTCACATAATAAGCAACAACTCATTCCTGAGACCCTCAACTACCTGTTTTCAATAAACACCTTACATCAGGTGCATTTCTGAATAAAAAGTTAAATAGAACATATATCTTTGTAAAAGCACCTGGATTATCACAATTACATTAAATATTTAAAAATGGAAACCCGCCATAATATACATTTCTCAAGTGACCTGCGTTTATTCCTTTTATTTCAAATTCAAAATAAGAACGTAGTGCTGCTTCAATTAAAAGAGTGCACGCTATCATTATGTTAAACGTTTAATGGTAGGTTTTGTAATAATTACTACCATGAACACAAACGTTAACAGTAAAATTAAGATAGTAAATACAGTTTTACATTTTTATTCTGTTATTAAAGGGATATTCGTAATTCTATAGTATCAGACTGTGCATGGAGGAATTATAGACTGAGTATTTGTTTTTAGAGATCTGCATCAAAATGTCCAATCTAGAGATTTAAAAAAGTTAGTGAACATTTAAAGAATGGCTGGTAGAATTCTTGACTTTAAATATCATTTACTTTTTTATTTTTACCGACTTAAAAAAAATTATTCGCAATTATAAATTATGTTTTCTGTATTGGTTTGTTTATTATCGTAGGATTTTCAGTTTCAATTTCAAACATGAGAGAGTTGAGAGAAAGTGGTTTAAACTGGCCTGAACGTGGCCACTAAGTATAGGAAAGGGAGCAAA